TACTGTCCAGAAAAAACACTTAAATATTACTGGTAAAATAATATTAGCATTTACTTTTTTCGTACAGTAATATCGATATATAATATAATGCATATTGTTTATTTAGTAATTTCTAGTAGTTTAGAGATTTTGATATTTTTTTGTAAAATTTAAAAGATTAATTAAATAAATGTTACTACACCCAAAAGTTTGTTTTTTCAGTGAAGGCTGGCAAAAACTTCTCTGCATCAAGGAAAATTCAAGATGGTGACTCATCTTACCTGAGGGAGAGATAAGACCCACCCACCAGAACATTATGATGATGATAACGTCATAACACTATGGTTCCTAAAACCTTTGAYCGTTCCACACAAATTAGCTATAAAATATTGAGCCCTATTCAAAGTGGCATAAATCTCAACACAGCTCAAAACTTTATTGTTTGGTCAACTCCATAATGACATTTGACTGTTGTGAACTTATTAGTTATGAGCTAGTACAACTGTTTGGGATTACAGTGAAGAATAGAAAACATTTCAGTGACTAGACATACCAAACTCATCAGAGACTTGCTGATGTAAGTAGTGCAGTAGATGACTTTAAATGTTATTGGCCTTGGGAGGTTAAATACAAATGAATGTATTAATTTTCAGATATTTCTATAAAAATTTAACATGTGTTTCCCCCATTTATTTTTGGTAATCTAGAGTTTGTGTTTTCTTTTTTTTACTCATCCTCAAAATTAAATTCAATGAAATTCCAGATGGTAAGGCATAAAAAAGAGATGACAACAAGAGTGGTGTATATTTTTGCAATTTTGACTGTTTATTGTCTGACCTGTGGCTGCTCGTAGTGCTCCATGGACATGGTGATGACGTTGAGCCCTATCACGATGGTGATGAACAGGTCCAGATAGTGGCTGGTGCACATCTTGTGGATGAGCAGCCGGGTGGGGGAGTAATCCGAGTAGTAAGGCTTACTCTGAGCTTCTGTTAGAAGTGGGGGTGGAGAAGGTGGGGAGGGGATGTGGGGAAAAGTTGATAGGAAGGAGGGAGAAGAGGGACAAAAAGGGGAAGGAGGGTGGATGGCGGTCAAAACGTGAGATAGACAGTAATACAATGGGAACAGCGTACAGTCGACCTGCAGTGCTGAGGAACACAGCCACAGATTTCTCTTGGAAGAACAGGATAGGTTAGTGAGACTTTAAGGGCTGACTCACATTAAAAATACAAACATCTGAAGTGTGAAGAAATGATTTAGGAGAAAGGCAGAGCAGATAACTGACAAAAAAAGGGAGACGTCAGCACTCTTTGGTCTGCAGTCTCCACTAATGTGAGAAACCCTCTCCTCTGATTGACAGTTAGCGAGTGTGTGTGATGACAGGAAGACATTACTGCTCAATGAGACGTCACAGACAAAGCTGCTGTGAGGAAATTTTACTCTGAGCATCTCTTCATTTTACTCATTTAAGATTATCATGTGACTCTGCCTTTTCTTATATCCTTCACTTCACAACCAACAGGTAGAGAAAAGAAAACAGCATCTAAGACTGTTTTTTTCCWTACTCATCCATCACCCCATACTTTACCTGTTCTTTCTGTCCAGAGAGGATGGGTGGGCTGGGGGAGTGATGATCAGGAAGAGAGAGGAAGCTTGCGTTTTCTATCACCTTTTTTTATGATCAGTGAAGGAGAAAAGTGAGGGATTTAAGAAAAGGGGAAACTCTCTCTCTCTATCTCTCTCTCTCTCTCTCTCTCCCTCTCCCTCTCTCTCAAACACACACACACACACACACACACACACACACACACACACACAC